GCGCTGTTCGCAATGTTGTCGAAAGTCAATTTTGCTTGTGAAAGTAGGTTAAAGTGTCATCTTTCGATTGCTGAAAATCGCATGTCTCTACATTTTACTGTTTTTGAGTTATTGAGAAAACATCAGAGTGCATTATATCTGGAATGGTTAGTAGATTATCCTTTGGACAAAAAGTATTTCTAAAGTTTCGGTTTCATACCATACGGATTAATAGCCAAGAATAATAGAGAAACAGTTAAACCACTCACTTTGGACGATCTTGTATGTTGTTCGAATTTAGCAAAGCAATATGACGATCAGATACAAGAAATTTCGAATGAAACGTGCCCATAATTAATCGATGATAATTCATTATTTCTAAATCAACATACGGTATTTCATCTGGATGAGGTATATCATAATGAGACCATTTTCCGACTGGCAACAGATTATGAAACGAATGAGCAATATTTTCAGCTGTTGGATGATCAATCATCAGTTTAACGATGACTCGACGATTGTCACTTGCAGCACGTTTACTTAATTCTTTCAAAGCATTACCGACTGTTGTAACTGAATGTCCTTTCTCCCAGTAGTTTGTTGCCTAATAGAACAGAAAACGATATTAACACTACTTCTGCAGCTAATATCCGAGACTTGGAACATACAAATAGTATCTCACGTTTGGCATTAACAATGACTTGGTAATAGTGTTCCATAATATCAGGAATTGTTGAAATAACGGTGTATGGAATGACACCTGTCGAAGCAATTAACGAAGGACTAACAACACCAGAAAGTGGATCATCTTCTAATACCAAGAAGACATCGTTTAATATCTAAATAAGATAAAACATATACTTGTGTCTCATTTACTTCTTCAAAAGACGATAAAATGTTCGAAGGAGGTGCTTGCAGAAACGGATAGTTTGCTGATCAAAAGAGATCAAGCCTTCTAGAAGTTTCGAAGCAGGAAACTAGATGTATGTCTTTCTAAAAATGATGTCAATCAAAAGCTTCCATATATACAATTTTATTTTGTCAGACGACATGTCTGTTTTATATGCTTTCTTCGTTCTGGCTTCGTGATCCATCTTTACTGTTTGCAGTCTAGCTCTAAAGGACTCTAACTGTACACATTATAGAAAAAAATCAATTCTTACCTTTAAAAACAGTTCACTTGGACATTGTTCTGGATATTTTGTCCTGTAAAATTCTTCGGCCAAATTAATTTCTTCTCTTTCATCATTTCCATTAGGCTTAATCTTCTTATGATGTTTAAGTTGATATAATACTTTTGTTAAAACATTTTTCGGTTTCGGTAATACTGACGGTGGAAATAGATATTCAGCAGCATCTTTTGGCGTACTTATATTAGAGAAGCGATCATTATTTGCTAAAACATATGTAATAGTTGGCTCATCTTGTTTGTGTTTCTCATAATAGGATGTATAAATCGTTGAAAAATCCAGTTCTGTAATAAGTAAGCGAATCTATAAAACTATGGTTGAAACAGCCCAAGACTTCTTATTTCGATAATAATAGTAATAAGAAGAGTAATTTTTTAATCTTGTGACATTTAGATTAATTAGTTATACAAATCATTGTATATATTTGAGCAATGTATTAGTTACATGTGACATATATTAGATATTTCATACAGTTAGCCAAAAGAAAAACGAAAAGAACAAAACATGCATGTTAAATGTCTCGCATATCTTCAAGATATTCGAGATAGATATTCTCTTTTTCACTTTTGCCGTGTGAAGAAAAGCAGCGTTGTTTTCATTAGAGCTGCGACAAATAGCGATTTTCTTTTCTTTTCTATTTTCTTTTCTTATTCACGTTATATATAGTGTATGATCACGTTGCAATGTACGATACACATATATAACATACACTAAGACTGTTGTCTGTGTAGAGTGATGTCACGTTTCTTTCTTTTCCTTAGTGTGTACGAACGTTATAGGCTTCATGCAGATAAGACAAGGATGGAGCATAAGAATTTTTGGCACTTTTGTATGCAACTTAGTCACGTTGAGCATGCAACTTAGACGTTTCTAAGAAGTGGAAAAATTCTTCATAAACAAATTGGAGAAAAATGAAGAAAACAGATTGTAGATATCGCAAAGATGCGAGCAGTTTTAGGATAGAAACGTTAGTGAATATGCATCGCCCAAACATTTGCCTAGAAGAGCAAAAATTAGGGATATAATGTATAGTTCTATCGACAAAAACTGTCTTACAGAGGTGCAAGTAAAGCTTAAACATCGAGACTTTCACTATTAAAGAATAAAAAAATATTCATTTTGATAAAACATCTAACCATCTGAGATGGGATCGGTTCGTGTTTTCTGCACTCGAACTGAGCCGGTCCCACCTCTGATATGGATATGATCTAAGAGAAAAAAAAATTGTCCTAGAATATTCCACGAGAACAAATGTTTATTATTTTTATCGTTTCTAACTGATTCTAACTTCACATTTTACTTTTATCTCTATTTGCCTACTCGAAAAGAAAAAATACTCACAATGACATCTTTCTGTTGCAAAAACGTCACACCATCTTTTTCTCCTCTCATATTCAGTTACCATAAATAAAATAGGACATCATTTTATTCCTATTGACGTAAAAGAAAAAAATAATAATAAAAATAAAAGTCATTTTGTAACTAAACTTCATAGAATAAAAGTCAATCAAAATCAACTGAACATTGTCATTCACATTTCATTCTTAGGTTTTTGTTTTCATAACAAGAGAACACAAAGCTGCTCATTAACACTATTACCAAATTAAACAAAATATATTTAAGTTGAAATAGAATAACAAACATATTTAAAAGTATGTAGAGCGATTGTTCCTAATTCGAACCACTTTTTAGCTAGTGAAAAGTTTTTACTTTTTCCTTAAAATTTTCTTGGACAACGTATATTATTTTTTATACTACAAAGTGTAAAATCGTCTCGCGAGTTCAATGGTATAAAAATTATCTAGTTATCATCAAAACTAAGTGAGTTCTAACCGGTAGTTTGATGATAAGTTGTCTGGTTCGAATTAGGAGCACTGTTCCTAATTCGAAC